TATATATATCTGTATATAAATATGTATATATAATTTTAATAGAGTGCCTTTTCGGATTTTGATATTTAAAACAAAGCTTACTTGGATACTTGGGATGGCCCTTCCTCATTGGTTCTGAGGGCCCAGCATAACTTACATTTTTTCGGAGTTTTGCTGGTATAGCCATTGTGGTCTCTTGAGTCAGCCAGGCCGAAGTCTGCATCAGGTCGCCACCACCACTGGCAGTTGCAGCCCTTGTAGGTCAGAGGGAGATTTTCCACTATGTGACTAGTTTTGTAGCAGGACGGTGTCGGATTCTCGTATTGGTTTACTCTTAGATGGACTTACTGATGGAAACGCTAGACTCCTTCTCAGTTCAGGAGACCCTGCCAGAGGGAAGAATTCTCCCGGCGTACATCGCTGCCCGACGCCCAGGAACACCTCGCAGCCACGATGAGGCGGTAAACCGTTAGGAGAGAAGTGAAGCTTTAAAAAATAAAAACGGAATTTAAGTTTCTAAATTTTCTAACGCAGCAGTGGCACTTGATATCATAAGCGACGTATTGAGAAGTGGCATCGGGTCCTGCTGAACGAAATCTCTCTCTTTTACTTGCTTTTTTTTCTTTTTTTTTTGTTCGAAATACAGGATTTGACGCCAAAGAGGTGAGAAAATACCAATTTTAGTAGGTAAGAAAACGTCAGAATTTTATTTTGGTAGAATATGAGAGGTAGTTTCTAGTAGGAAAAAAATCTGTGGATTCTATCGGCTTTCATTAAATAACAACGGCCGATATGGTTTGAGCCATATTCCTGCAGAGTTGGAAACGGCCAGTAAGTTTTGTGCTAAATGCATTGTACCAAATGAATTCTGGACTTTATATCTCATATCATTAGGCATTGATCCGAAAGTTATTCTATATTCCTGATATAGTAAAACGACCAAAACCTTTCATTTAATGCAAACGTATAGTTTTTCAAGATTTAAAACATTAGAACCGCAGTGTAAACACTGCCCCTAAAAAATATTTTCACACGTTTTTTTTGTAATTTTTGATTTTGTACCTACTAACGTACAGGCTTATACACGGGAATTTAAGAAATAAGACGTCCTTTGTTAAACGATTTTGGTTACTGTAGTTGGAGTACGTCAGGTCAATCCGGTGTCAGATGGTATAACCCGTAGCCGTACATAAAATCTCTGTGAGCTCTTACACTGATAAAGCGATAACTTCGGCGTAGCCTCTGCTCATTACATGTCTGGATAACCATTCTATATTTTGGATGTTTCATGCTGACAAAGACGTCGAAGCGTTTGCTAACTAAATGTTTGGTAACAACCTCATGTTATTAGCTAGATTTAATAGCATATCAGTGGAAGAAATACACTGATCATCCATAATGAGTTTAAATGTTATTTTAAGCATTATTTCAATTGTAGTTGTTTCATTTATCCGGCACTTGTTTACATTCGTTGCGGAGATTTTGTACGTTTTGCATTCGATTCGTTTCCTCGTATTCATCAATTAACTTTTGTTTGCGAGTTCTGTGGGTGCTTGAGAATTTTCCATTCGTCACCAACGCCACTGAATACTGATCGATACGATTCTCCCCGGAGTTCAGAAACAGTGCGGGTTCAACGTTGTCACTTAGATTTTAGGAGGGAACCGTCTCCACACATGTTCGACACCAATTTTCCGATCTCGAAAGGATGAGACGCATGGTGAGCTCAAGGCTGGATCGAACGAACACCGTGCTAGTGATGAACGCAGTCAAAAATCAAAGCTAGTAATATTTTTTGAAAAGGAAATAAGCAAGAGAAAAAAAAATATTTTTTTTGAAATTAGTCCTGGGAATATTGAATTGCAGTGAAGTTTCCTGTTACTTTAAGAGCATCACCTGCTAGTGTTGCTCACCATGAGAGAGTGGAACGGAAAACGACAATGGCTTCCATCTAGAAGAAGAAATCAACAATAATTTGTTGGATTTTTTTACACACTTCCTCAAAAACCTATTTTAACTAAAAAAACTGTTTTATTGCTAATATTTTTTATAACAATAGCCTAAGGCTGTGGAAGCTATTTTTGGAATAAAATGCTTCACCTTGTAAAAAAAACACTTAGTTTATCTGGAAATAGGGAGAATCTAATCTGAATAATAAGAAAGCCGTTCACAATAAAATATAATAGTGCTCTAGTAAAAAACTCATCGAATTTTATCCGACCAATGTATTCAAAAAGTCTACCGTTTTAACAACCCCCCCCCCCTCCCCAAACGAAAATGCGTTTCCGGCCTCAACTGTTCCTCGAAATTCCTTTCATATTCTACTGCTCGGTTTTGAAAAGAAACCATTGTCTTTTTCTGTTCACCTTTCCTTGTCCTCAATTTCCTTGTAGTCACAGCAAAACTTTCATTTCTCGCACCCAATTCTGAAATAAAGTTGTTCATTTTGTTATATTCCTAAGTCAGGCAAACACAGGAGGAATTTTTGGACCTAGGGCCACTGAGCATGCATCCGATACAGATCCGTTTCTCACAAACATCGTTTTCTTCAAAATCAACTGAAGGCTAATTTCTTCATTTACGCTGCACCCGCTAACAACTCTTGATACCATGTTATAAAATTACAACTTGGAACGTTGTTATTACAAATGGTGGCAGACAACTTCGGTGAACTACTATCGCCTTCTTGAAATTCCTTCTTTTCGCCAACTGCAATGCTTTTTAGAATGGAGAATTATGATTGCGACGTTGTTGCACAGCACGCGAAGAATGTTGTTTCCCGTTGACGTTAATCAGTTAACGTACTCTGATGGAGCGTGAACTGATACCAAGTCAGAAGTAGGAAGTTGGAACCATTAGTGGGATATACGGACATTAGATCAAGAAATAAGGTGCTGGCTTGACCACTCTCCCAACTCACTCCTCCAAACCGCTTGGTGACATTTTGGCCTGGTTATCTCTAACATTGCAAAGAGAATCGACTCGTCTAGCTTTCCATGATATCCATGAAGAAGACGAAGGCATCAAGCAGCAGCCGAAACACAAAGCGAAATGTTTGAAGACCTTTGTGGGCGATGAATGCAGGGTAAACGAACCCAATGAAAAAGGTGTTGTGATGTGCACAGTAAATGTGATGGCAAGGCATATAATAATAATAATAATAATAATAATAATAATAATAATAATAATAATAATGATAATAATAATAGTAATAATAATAGTGATAATAATAGTAATGATAAATAATAAAAGCACAGCATATGGAGAAGTGGACTCGGTTTCCAAAAAAATCAGGAAAGAAGTCGTGCTTAAGTTTTTCCATGGTTTTTCAAGACTCATTGACCACTTTGCCTAACCGCTTAGAAGGTATTATTTCGTTTTCGCCACTGGACAGCTCTCGCCAGAGTTGGTGATGCTCTGTTAGACTCCTAAACCTTAAGCCAATGGTCCCATTTTTGTATTCCTAAAAGAGTTCTACTTTTTGTTTGTAGTGAATGGTAACCACAGACCTAAATTAGTGATAGCCTAAGATACTCAACAACAGATACAACAGCTTAACAGCTCTAGGGTTTCTAGAGGCAGTATGCATGGGCGACTATAACGCTGTTTGCTTTTGTAGCACTATTGTGAAGCATTTGATGAATTAGGTTTGCCTAATATGGACAGTGTGTTTTTAAAAAATTTAAAGCGTTTGGATTTCAGATATAAAAAAAGCTATTCCAAATGGTGCAATTCTAGGAATTCAAACTCAAACCTACTTAGCTCAAACGGCTCGAAACGTTAGTGAGGTATGGGACCAAGGAAATATTAATGAACGCTGATATTTGCAAAACTCCGGACTGCAGGTGTCTGCGGTGGGGAACGAAGGCGCTATTGTCCTTTCTGGGGAGTAACGAGTTCACCACCACACCATGTGGGTCCTTCGTTTCGCCTGTCTCTCAGGTAGTTCTATTGATCACTTGCTATCAGCAATCACCCGTCCAAGGGATTGATCTGTGGTGCTCAAATCGGCATTGAACCCGGTTAACCTGAGGCTATAGTTATAATCACAATCTTAACCTTTTTGTTTACTGCCTACTCTTTTTAATGGAATAGTACACTGCGAAATATCTCAGCATCATTGAAGAAAAGCGATTGTTTTGAAAATTTCGTCGTAACTAAATTGACGTTGAAGATGTGAAAGGATGTGGACGTCTTTTGCTAATGGCGACCATTAACTGAACTCTTTGGTGGATGTGGACCGTTTGGTGGCTTTCTGTTGGATTAATCTATCACAGCTTCCTGCATTCGGATGAAACGATTGCTGCCTTGAAGTATGTCCAGCAGACTGATTAAAGAGTTTTCCAGCCTTAAAATCTGCTCCTGGATTTTTTTTTCAATAGAAGCGCAACTATCCTTCTCCACGAAAGCGCATAGCCACATGTCACATAACCAAAGCTGCAAAAATTGAATGAGCTGAGCGATGAAGTCCATCTAATCCGCCATACTCATCAGAGTTCGCGCCAACCGGTTATCAGTTCTATAAGCATCTCGACAATTTTCTGCAAGATAAATATTTCAGAAAACAAACGGAGACCAATACTGCCTTCAATGACTTCATTGCTCCAGAAGCACACAATTTCATGCAAGCGTCGTAAGTAAATTGTTCCTTGTCAGCAAATATGTGTTGATTCCAAAGGTTTTTCCCCTAAATAATGAAGTATTTCTTTAAAAAAGATATATCTTTTTGAAAGCCCTGGTTGAAAATTAACATTAAGTTCTGGTGCTTCCGAAAGTTGTAACAACCAAGCTAGACGTTCATGATGATCGTGCTTTTGATTCTATGATTTTGTTGTTTCTGTTGTAGTTTATCCTCAATTCTGACAGAATTCTCACACAGTTCTCCCATCGTGTCATAACATTCAGTACCTTTTTCGCATCTCATTAGAGCGTACATAAATAAATAAATAAGCAAATAAATAAACAATTATAATGTCTGTAAGCACATGTGTGCACGTGTTTGCATGTGTTTATGTGGGTGTATGGGTTGTGTGTTTCCCTCGTTACGCGACGTTGTAAAGAGCAGCAGAGAGGTTGGCACATCTGCCTATGCTAACGAATTGTGGATTCGATCGATTATCCCAGCGATCAGTATGTCGACTAGTGAGCTATCACCACGATTTCAACTAGCGTTCAGACGTTCATTATTCTTCGGATTATGCTTGTGTATTTGGTTAGCTATTGGTACATTGACTTTTTCTGCATTATCGGCTACCGTTGCACAACAACGGGTAGGTGCAACTCTTAGTTGTTTTGCTGAAGCTTCCAACCACTTTTTCTGCTCTTTTTTTCCAAATATCCCTGAGCATAAATAGACAGGAAGGAAATATGTTTTGATTCGGTTTTCACTCAATTTTTCATATCTTTTTGAACATTCTTGAGTTGACATTAGTTCACCGATATTTATGTTCTGCGATAAATCACTTTTCTTGTGTGTTCTCAACTTTGTTTCAATGGTTATGAATGAAAATACATGAGTTGCTAGTTTGCTCTACCTTTACTACGATAATGGGAAAGAAAAAGGCTTATTTAACTTCCTTCAAAGTAAGCTTATTAAATCAAATTCTAGAATCTGATTACCAAGCGGTTAGCTAAAATCCTGCTTTTTTGAATTCGAAATCCTGTCAAATTCTGAAAAGCCGACGTCTCATAAGTTTAGACCAACCTTGCCAGCATGGTTAGACTAGACAACAAACGAACGGAACTGCTGAATGTGCTGTGGGCAGAGACGATTTCGAAACCAGAAGCGGATTGGGCTGAAATGGCCAATAGGAAGCTTGAGTTATACGAGAAGGTAGAATAAAAAAAATTCCGACAACGCTTGGTATTTATTGCTAACTTTCGCTATGTGTTTTTTCTTTTATTATTTTTTGATAAAATATAGTGAAATATTTCACGAGTCACGTCAATAACATGGATAATAGGATGGCGCCCCTTTATGGATCACAAAGAATCGTAAGGATTCTTGGACAATCTATTCTGCAATTGCAATTTGCTAGTTGAGCAAAACCTTTATTAGGTGGAACTCAGTGCTAAGTATTTCTTAGAGCGTCACCAGTTGTGAGCTAGTGATTGTGTTATTGTGTGCACAGTTCTGATTCGTGGCACTGGATTACATTTAGCTGGGCTTCATAAATGACATTCCAAACTCAGAAAGAGTTCGGTATAGCCAGTTGGGTGACGGATCTTCCATTGTACATCCCAATACTTAACCAGAGCCACCTGCCGGCGAAACTGAACGAATGAGACGGAATGAGAACCACTGGAGATCGCTATATAATAACCATGCAGTAAATAAACACCCGAGTAGGACAAATTAGTAGCTTTACTGTTAGTTTCAAGCCAAAGTTTAAGAACCTTTGCTCTTTTCAAGAAAAAAAAAATGCTATTCATCTTACAGGCACTTCTTAACTATATGGGTTGCTATGATGAAGCCAGTGATCGATCTTTTATGAAATCACTTCGTAAATCAATTTCACTTGTGACCACAATCGGTAAGGTTTGTCACTATTTGTCGCACAGAGCACAAGATCCAGCCAAGGATTCTGCGTTTATTGTAGGTCACCTCAAACGTTGCGCTACACTCCTCCGTGGCTAGTTACTGTAAGAACTAAGATTAGTGATGTCTTTTAAAACATTCTCATCCCGATTTCTACAAATGAAAGTCGTTACAAATTTGCCCCAGTGTTTTGAAATTTGCCTTGGTTTTTTGGATGTTATCTGCAGAGAACTTCTAGTAATAACATTGTGTTAGCTGGGAATTTTGAGAATGCTTCATCGAAATCCATTTTAACAATCCTTTTCAGGTCCTATCAACATTGATATGCTTACAATCACTGGTAAAATATTCACCATAATATATGCAATTATAGGTTCTGTTTTTATTCAGATGTTACTTTCATCTTCTTCTCTTTGTGTAAGTTTAATTATCCAGGATGAAAATATCTTTTTAGGAATTCCGTTATGCTTACTTCTTATGACGCAGTGTGGTCGCATGATTACTTCCATTTGGGAGGTCGTTCCAAGTTTTTATATCGTCTACATATCGTCTACATCTTTATTATAAGAACACAATATACGTTTTAAACAGTCGAACTACTTTCGTATTTATCAATAGAAGTATCTAATTCTTGGTTATGACAATGAAGATTCCTACCTTATATTATAAATCCACTGATCATCCAATGATTCGAATAGGCGTCACTTAATTCGTCATTGGTTCTTGTCAAGCGCAAGAACGGGGTTGCAAATCCTGTTTGCTCAAGGAACATGAATAACACCACCACACATATCTCTCATGAGGCGCTTTATTGTTTTTGGCGATTGGGGGCTACGCAAAGTTCTGAGTACTCTGCTATAGGAGCTGCGTAGAATCACTGGTATTATACCTTGCTAAACTCTACTGAAGTGCTCGTGGCAACCTCTAAACATCTTCCTCTTTCCTTGTTTCCTGATTATTCCAATGCTATTTTTTCATTAATTAAATCTCTAGGAAATGTTAGAATACAATCCATAATCAGATAAACGTGTCCTTATGGTAGCACGTGAATATGCTTGAAGCCACATTCATCCCATGTCAGAGTTTGTGCTATTTTGATCATAGTAAGTAACTGCAACGAAGTATTTCTGTCCTTGTGATGTGCTTCTTTAAAAGTTTATTAGAGCTCGATAGGAAAAGATACCAGGGAATAGAATATCGACAAAGCAACTTGGTTTGTGCATGTGGTTAAGTGACATTTACCCTTCCATCTACTAGTTACCTAATGGTCAAAAGATGTACTCTTGAAGATCATCTGGTCGCGGTTTTCGAATTTTAAAACAATTCTTTTGATAATAGTCTCTGACTGAGAAAAAGACGCAAGTATAGCCTCAGAAGTGCAGTGGGTAACACCTGAGCCCCCGGAAAGGGTAACCGTCGGTTTGAATCCGAACTGGGTCCTGATTTTTGGAAGTATCTCATCATTATTTTGGTTGTAATTCTCTTACAATTTCCATGCGAAATAGTCACATGAATTTCGTACAAAACTCATTTGACCCTTCATCAACAAACTGGGGATAACCTTTAATAGCATCTCTGTTTCCGTCCAATCTCAACAGTATTAAGTCAACATGACAACAATACGTGGAAATAAGACTGTCTTATCTGAACAATGCTTTACTAATTTCTAATGAATTCTAGAAGGAAGCGTTCTTATTCTTCTTAACTGATTTCAAGCTTTTTTGTAGAGAAAAACGTTAATCGTCCCTGTTATTTGCTTCATATTTGTTTCTGCAATCATCTATGACGTTAGCGAGGATAACAGTGATGACGTAGTAGGTTGAAGTAACTTTTCTTAAACATTTTTGGAATTTCCAACACATACTGATCACTTTTTCAGCCATTTTTCGATGCTATTTTTTCGGTTTTTTTGCAATTTTCCACAATCGGTCAGACGGAAAAGGAGTTTCGGTAAGCACTTTCCATACGTAACGCCTTCTGTGTTGTTTTCCTTATTCTCTTTGGAAACATTTATGGGAATCTCAAACGTTAATAAGCTGTCAGCTAAACTTGACTTTTTCTTGTTGCTCTATCAGATTTCACCTACCCTAAGCAACAATGTACCAACGACCTTGAAAGGTCTACCTTTCATTGGGCACGTCAAACTTAATTGGGGAATAAAGCGTTCAGCGCTGAACTATTACTCACGCTTGCACCTAGGAAGGGGATCGAACCAGTGACTCTATGTGTGTTGCAGAGCAAATACTCTAATCATTACACTACACATCCCCCATCGATTTCAATTAGGTGTCTCAAATAGTAGAAACATTCGATCAAAGTTATTCATAAGGGTTAAAACATGTCCAAATCAGCTGCTAATCCAACTTTTAAAGTTTCGCATTGCAAATTTGCGGAAAGTATAAGTTGAGCAATTTAAAGTCTTAACGACAATGGCGTTGACGCTCCAAAATTTTTGGCAACCTTACCTAATATTATTTTCGCTTACAACCGTTATATTATGAATAAAAAAAGTGAGTAAAAGGACGATAACATGGAAAAGGGACTTATCAGGAACGATCATTTAGCCAAAGCTTTACGAATTAAAGTACAACCTTCTTCGTCGTCCGACTCTTATCAGCACTCACTGTCTGAAGAAAAAAAGAAAAAACTCTGAGAAAATCAAGAGGCTTGCTTACTTACTTGGATACTTGGACGGTCCGACTTCGCGAGTTGTGCGGACCCAAGCACATATGTCATTCGTTGATTTCTCTCGCAATCGTAGTCCATGGTGATGGTCTTGCTCGAGCATGGTAGCGCCTGCGAGTTTCATTCCGCGATCTGTAAAACAACTGCAGCTGCGGGTACAGCTGACTAACTTTGTTTACGAATACGTCCGCCCAACGTGTAGGTGGTCGTCCAAGGAGACTTTTGCAATCTCTTGGAGTCGACTCTACTGTTCCTTTCGTCCATTTGTTGTCTGTTCTTCTCATTATGTGACCGGCCTATCTATGTTTCCATATCGATGTATATCTTCCTGGATCTCGAAGATGTGAAAGATTTCGAACGTCAGAGCTTCGCATTCCGGCTACATATTGAGAGTGTCGGTTATTTTCTTCGTATTTTTGTTGAGCAAACGCGAGGTGTTACTATTCTTTGTTCACGATTAAGCTGACGTTTCGGCGGATTTCGCCTTCTTCAGAGCCTGGAAAGGTCAAGTTGATAGCAATCCACTCCGCCAGACGCCTCCATAACCAAACAAAGAAACTCCAAACCAAGATTTCAATCACTTTGAACACAGCTTTGCACACTCACCGCTTTCTATGAGGTTTCCACTAAGTATGTCACGTAGAGACCAACCGCACAGAAATCACGTGGAAGTATAATGTGCCCCTCACATCAGAAAAGCAGTTTTATATACTGCCCTATATCACGCGTATTAATGAGGCATTCTTCCCTGCGGTTCATTTTCGGATTTCTGGAATTAATCCAGAGTGCCTCGAGAGTTTTTCGCGCCTGTGTTCTTGATTGGCGTGCGAGGATCGTGACACATACTTCGAAGTCGTCCCACCTGATGGCACTCTTAAAAGAATGCTTGGGCTGCTCAATCTTCAGATGGTCTGGAAAGTACTACGCTCAAATAAGAGGGTTGGCAATGGGACAACGACTGGCTCCAAGCCTTGCCATTGCATTTATGTCTAAGGTGGAAGCACCGGTGACTGATCTCGGGCCGCTACTCTACTGTAGGTATGTAGACGACTGCTTTGTCCTTTGCTCAACACAAGAGGAAATGGACAAATGCTTCGAATTGTTAAACGCACAGTCAGAGTATATCAAGTTCACCCGAGGAAAGCCGAAAGAAAAATGGCTTCCATTTTTGAACGTACAAATTCACCTATCAGAAAATGGCTACATTACGAAGTGGTACCGAAAGCCAAATAGTAAAAATATCTTGGTTCATTACCTCTCCTCTCACCCCTCTCACACGAAAAGGGCGCTTACAAGAAGCATGTTTCGAACAGCAACCAACGTGTGTACGGGAAGAGAGCAGAGAGAGGAGTCCCGAAACTTGGCACGGCAAATAGCCGTTTCTAATGGCTACGAAACTGTAGCTCAGAATAGGTGTAGAGGAAATCGTAAACCTCCAAACGACAACTCTAGCGATAGAAGGGTCCCGTTTATCCTACTCTTCATCTCAAATGATATAAGTACAGCTATAAAACGCTGCTTAAGAAGGGCGGGCTTAGAGAATTCGGTGAGCGTAGTTGAAATACCACCGAGTAATCTTAAGCGCCAGCTAGTTCGTAACAGCCTATATGACCGTCTATGTTCAACTCAAAATTGCATAATTTGCCCCAGTGGTAGAGACGGTGATTGCATGAGCTCGGGTATAGTTTATCTGATCTCCGGTAAGACGTGTGGTGACGAATACATTGGCGAAACGGGTAGACCCCTCTGTGTTCGCATGAAAGAACACGTAGCCGGCAAAAATAGACCAAATACCCCGCTAGGCACGCATAGGACCCACAGGCGCGAAAAACTCTCGAGGCACTCTGGATTAATTCCAGAAATCCGAAAATGAACCGCAGGGAAGAATGCCTCATTATTACGCATGATATAGGGCAGTATATAAAACTGCTTTTCTGATGTGAGGGGCACATTATACTTCCACGTGATTTCTGTGCGGTTGGTCTCTACGTGACATACTTAGTGGAAAACTCATAGAAAGCGGTGAGTGTGCAAAGCTGTGTTCAAAGTGATTGAAATCTTGGTTTGGAGTTTCTTTGTTTGGTTATGGAGGCGTCTGGCGGAGTGGATTGCTATCAACTTGACCTTTCCAGGCTCTGAAGAAGGCGAAATCCGCCGAAACGTCAGCTTAATCGTGAACAAAGAATAGTAACACCTCGCGTTTGCTCAACAAAAATACGAAGAAAATCACTTGATCAATGCCGAGGTTAATAGAAAGTCGGTCGTGGCATTGTCGGTTATATTTCAAAAGACATCGCTCAAGCGCTCTGTGAGTAGTTCGAAGCATTCTTGACGTTGTTAGAGTATCAACCCACGTTTCTGCAGCATAACAGAGCGCTGGGAAGACCGTTGAACCAAAGAGATGAGCGCGGATTTTCGGGTCCTTCAGTTCGTCGGTAGCTTCTTTGAGAGGCACGAATGCTACCCAAGCTGCTCTCCTTCTTCTATCTAGTTTCTGGTTTATGTTGTTTTCCATGTTCATTGATTGCCTAAGGAAAACGTACGAGGTGGTCTCTGCAATGAGAGAGCCATACAATTCAATTTTTTTTTCGCCTTCACGCCATCGGTTTTTCATGAACCGGGTCTTCTTTTGATTTATACGAAGTCCGATCTTTTCCCCACTTCGTTGAGCTTGTTGATCATCATCTTCACTTCGCTAGTACCTTTTGAGATGATGGCAATGTCGACGGCAAAACGAAGGTTTCATAGGAATTTTCCATATATACGTATGCCTTCTCATCCCAATCGACTGACTTCATCATCCATTGCGGTGCGGCACTGCAGAGCTTTGGTGATATTGTGTCGTCCTTTCGAACCCCTTTTCCTATGGGTATTGTAAGAGGTGGATGGAAAGGCTGTATTTTCGTAGTGCAGCTCCGATAACAGGCGGACAGAGTTCTTATGCAGGACGGGTCCACTCCTTAGTCGACGAGAGCTGATAGGATCGCATTCGTTTCGACAATGTGAAACAACGCTTTCTCATAGTCGACAAAAGTTAGGACTAGAGACAAGTGGTATTTCTGACAAAATTCGATGACCCTGAACACGGTTTGGATGTGGTCCATGCAGCAGATTCCTTTTCGAAATCCTGCTTGCTCGAATGGTTGCCCCTCATCCAATGTCCTTGATATGCGCGAGAGGATAATATTCGTGAAGAGCTTGTAGAGTACACTTAACAAGCATATGGGACGATAATTACGATGATCCCTTCGGCCTCCTTTCTTGGACAGGATGACCGTGCTCGACATCATCCCCTGTTCTGGAATTTTTTCCTTTGAAGGTAGGCTGTCACATGACTTACGAGAAGTACATATAAATTATGGCTTCCAGCTCTAAGGAAGTCGGCGGTAATATTTTCAGGTCTTGGAACTCTACCTATTCCCATGTTTTCTATCTCAACTAGAACCTCTGATAGAAGAATTCTAGGTGGTTTTTCTCCAGCGGAGATGTTAGGGTCCTGGACGGGGATTGTGGAACTGAAAAGGTTAGTGTAGAACGTTTCCGCTATTAATTCCATGCCATGGCGAAAAATTTTTCTTTCTTCTGGAAGAACGAGTTCCTATGGAAGAGACGTGCTCCTGACCGGAGTCCTGTGAGACGGTTCCCATTCCCATTTCTTTCTCATAATCCAAAATTTCCGATTCTGTATTCGCTCTCGTTGGCCTTTCCTATTCTGGCGTTGAAGTCTCCGACAACAAATTTATGATATGCTTTATCATTGCGGATGACTTCCTCCAACTGATAGTAGAACGCATTTTATTCGTTCTCATCAGCTACGTCGGTCGGTGAATAGCAGTTGATGATTGTGATCTTCTTATAATGCGACAGTTGAAGACGGAGGACGGCTATGCGAGGGGAAAGGATCACGCATGAGTCGACGAGATGGACAATGGACGGGTGGGCGACAAAGCCTACGCCACTGACGTTTCGTTAGAGGATCTTTCCTCCACGGATCACAAGGGTCCCGTTGTTTAGTAGGCGTATGTCGGTTTTCTTGTTTTGTGTTACTTGTAATGCGACCACATGAAATTTAATGCGATCTGCGGCTACAAGAAGGGCGTGATGATCGGCGTCTGTGGAGGGTGTTCTGGTATTATACGTTCATAGTAAGAAACAATCTCCATGGCGTGTCGTGCGTGTGTTCGTCAGATCCGGTACCAATGACGTGCTGCATAATCCGATATTTTCTAGCCTCTCACCGGTCGTCTCACCACCTAACGTCATAGACGGGAGCACCCAGTGTGCGGGGTACTAAGGCTGGCCTATTGCTGGTCGTGCAACTTCGTCCTTCTTGGAGCCCTGAAGTAACCTTGCTAGGGAGTATCCAGGTCTTCACTACGATGTGGATCAAAGGGAAGTGTGTTTTCGGCGACGAATCCTTCGCTCGGTCTTCCTACTAGTTAATTCGGAGAGATGTTAAAACAGAAATCAGAAACGAAAGTAGAAATGGAAAAGTAACCGACCGCTCAATGACGATGTAGAAGCTGAATCTCCGAAAAGCCGAAAATCAAGAAAAAAAAAACCGAGTTCACCAATGGTCTTTTTGTTTTGCAATATAAAAGGTGACTATCGAAAAAAAATAGGAAATAGTAGACAGAGTTGTCATTTTTACTATTAGTAGAAAAAAAATCATTTTATAGAAAAATTCAGCATATGTTCAAGAATGAATTTAGGGGCGGATAGTACAGTGGTAGTAATTCCCATCACCACGAGCATAGTTCTATCTCGATTTTGCTCCGGGCCAACAAAGCTCCTCAACCCTTCAAGGCCGAGAAATTGGTACCAGACTTGTCTGGGAAAAAAAATCACTTTCTGCAGTTCAATTGGGAACGCTCCATTCCGGCTATCTCAGGACTCCAGAAAGAATTGCTCGACTAGCATTCTACGACATTCAACATGAAATGAAAATCCTCAAGCAGCAATCGAAGCCACATGTAAGAAGTTAGAAGATCTTCTTGGACAGTGGATGCGAGAAGACGAATAGAATGTGAGAAGCTCTGGAGTCGGTCCGCACAGTAGATGTGAAAACGGATCATATAGAATAAAATAAAAAGACAAACGACCCGGATGGTGTAGTGGTGAAGTGCGCTGCTCCCCGGTAAGGACAACAGCGCGTGTTCGTTCTCTATTGCATACACCTGTGATCCGGAGTTTTGCAAATATCTCAGCATTTTATACGAGTTATATTTCGCAACATACCGTGCCATTAAGAAGAAAAAGGCAGTAAATAAAAGAGTTAAAAAGACAAAAATAGAAAACTTTACTATAGCTTCCAGTGACGAGTGTAGCTCAATGGTTAGAGTTTCGTGAAATACACATAGGGTGTTTTGTTCGATCCTCTACTGTGCGCTCATGAACCATCGCCCTCTATGGTACCGGGATATGCAGATTTGTACTAGACTTTTCTGAGAAGGTAGAAAAATTGGTCTGATACATTGGCAGGCCACCGAAAGTCATTGCATAAGTTAAATATGCATTCATTCAGCTATATGATACCACGATTGGAGTGGAATGCGTGATGCATCAGGGGAGTAATCGGTTCCAAACAATGTTTCTTTTTGCCCTCCCCTATATTGTTTAACATGGCATAATGCATTTTTGATGCTTTACAGCAGGAAGAAATTTCATTGCTATTTTATTTTAGTGGTTTCATCCTATATGCTATAACTTTTCTTGGTGTCGCACTTATAAGTAGAGCGTTCTTCCAAATGCAGCACGAAATCGAAAGATTGTTGCATGGATTCGAATTTACCTTCGCAAGGTTTGTTATTTATAAGTTTCAAATGGCTTTTCAATTGTGTATGCGTAATATATGCAATAACCCTGTTAAGGCATATTTTATGCCGGCAGCGTTCATGTCATTGAACTAAGTAACAGAACGTTGTGGATTACGTTTTGATGAACATCAATTCATAAGCTTTTGGGGTACTAATGGTTTTGATGTGAGGTTTTCTATGAATAGTAACACAGTTTATGTAAATTTTTTGTAGTTGGAGGTCATCATTAAGTTGAGGAAAACTGCACTGGATTCAAATAATACTCTAACTGCAACAGTTGCAAAAACTCACATAATACCTCCTTCCTCTTTATGAAGCAGAACAAGCACAAATGTGATGTACCATAGTTGTAGCCACATGTGGCTGAAAAAGAATAAGAAGAACGTATTGAAAAGAGAACGGATCAGATTTTGTAATAGCAAATACTGTAGCAAATCCATTTCTACCATCTCACATCCTCTTAGGTACAGAAAACTGATGGGCACATTCAAAAGCCAATAAGTCGATACCACTTTGACAGATTTACTTCGTTTTCCATCAGGTGTATATTTGAAACAATGGAAAATTTTACGAAAAAGATAAGTTGCCCAAATTTTTAGGAAGTCGTATTAGAGTGGTCAAGCTTAGAACAATGACCTGAATAGTATCATTGAGACCATTATTTCCGTATTCATAAAAACGCTTGCAATACAAAACAACTCATGAAATCTTTTGCTCAGCATGTTCTCGAAATTTGAGCGATGGATGAGCGAAGACAAGGGAACAATTCTAAACACCAATCGAATAGAGGAAGTAGATGAAAATGAAGATGAAGATGAAGATGAAAGTGACTACTAAGGATCAGGATCATTTTTTCTTAGTCATCGACAACAAGCTGGATGAAGATGATGCCGAGCATACGTGCAAATTTAACGTACAATTTTTTTCAGTGTTGTATTAATTTTCTTTTAATAATAAAGCGGTAAAATTTTGAAACACTGTTTCCAGTGATTAAAATTTTTCGATAGTAACAATTAGGTGAAGGGCCGATTTTTCATAAATAAATATCACCTTAGTGGTTGAGTGACTCGATTGTTGATCAACAAGGATTTCAATCGTTGCCTATTCGGTATGTTTGGCTTGTTTAGACTAGAAGACATAGCACCGTCTACTTGTGGCATTATGTTTGCTGTTTTTTCTTCTGCTCTTTTTGAAGAAAATGTAGTTCTGTAACTGATAACTTGTTAAACTCCACTGTAGGTGCCGAATAAACTTACGGATGTCATGTACTACTCTTGGGAGTCAACGTGGAGCTTTTTTGCTCGGAAGTGACATTTTGCAGCGATGTAATTGCAGAATCTTGACGTAATCAACGCTGAAGATTTTTTTCGTTCTGAAAAACTATGCCATATAAAGGAAGAACAGTGTTTGGAACCAATGTTGCAAATTCAGTGGCATGAAAAACTTCGGCCACCAAAGAAAGACTTTAATAGTACTGGGGAAACTACGCTATTAAATGAATGATTTTACACTATAGAATCAATGATGCTTAGAAAAGCAAGATTACCAGCTGTTAGTATTTTAGGAGGTAAGTGCTTTGAAGGGAATATATGGCAGGTTCTTGTTTAGTTTTTTGTAGCTCTTAAAGTCCCACCGATGATCTGAAAGTGACCAATAATATCTAGAAATCTGTGAAATTCGAAGTTTATAAATTTACGAATCTATAAAAATGAGCGATAAAGTATCTGTATGGCATAATCATCTGCCCATATAACGGATGGATTACATGGAATAATTAGTAGCAGTGCCTAATTTCATCGCATCAACTTCACGGAGACAAAGAATCAGTTCTTTCAGTTCTAATGGCGCAAGAAGGGCATGGTCTTTTTAAAATCGTTGTATGAGAACCTCTAAACAGTTCAATTGTGTAAAGGTCCATTGGTCCATGAAAACCATGTGGTGTTAGATTCCTGATAACCGTCTCTCAGCGCTTATTGTCACAATGATGAGCATGTGTAGCTCATCTACTCTTTAACGACGTGATTTCCACGGTAAATGCCTGGACGTCGTTAGACAATAGTTCTTCACAATGAAGAAGATGAACTAATAATGAAGCTATAAGTAAACTTTTGACTTACCTTAGAAGATTCATTCGCAGAACAGTCTCTTCAGCAGAACATTTGATGACATTGATGAAGGCATTGTAGTACCACCTCAGCATTACCGTGCTTTACAAAACGTATTTCCAAGGGCGTTCATGAATTTCATCTACTATCTGGGTGTTTATTTCATTGCTTGACTTCCGTGCCATTTTCTTACAGTGCGCCGGAATAAATGTGGAGTATCATGCGATCGTGCTATGGGCCGTTGATTGAAGCTTTGCATGAGATTTCTGATGTTATAAATTGTAGATTTCTTCCTATTATCAGAAATGCCACCCATTGTGGAAGGGACAGTTGCTTACATCGTTCGTTCCGTTCCGACGACCGTATCAGTCCCTATTTCAAAAACGAAATTTTCCATGTAATTCTAAACTATGCTAATAAAACTTCAATGATGCTGAGATATTTGCAAAACTCCGGACCGCATGTGTATGCGGTGGGGAACGGACGTGCTATTGTCCTTTCCAGGGAGTAGCGCGTTCACCACCACACCACGCAGGTCCTTCAATTCGCCTGTCTTTCAGCTAGTTCTATCGATCTTTTTCCATCATCAATCATCCGTCAGCGAAATTGATCTGGGACGCCCAAATTGGCAGCGAACCCAGTTAAGCTGAGGCTGCAGTTACAATCACAATTTTAAGCTGGGTTAGTTTAGCTTAACTGGGTTCGTTGCCGATTTGGGCTCCCCAGATCAATCTTGCTGACGGCTGATTGCTGATGGCAAACGATCGATAAAACTAGCTGAGAGACAGGCGAAACGAAGGACCCGCGTGGTCTGGTGGTGAACGCGCTACTCCCCGGAAAGGACAATAGCGCGTTCGTTCCCCACCGCAGACAACTGCGGTGCGGAGTTTTGCAAATATCTCTGCAACATTAATGTTGTATTTCGCAATATATACCCTGCCGTTGAAAAGAGTAGGCAGTAAATAATAAGTTAAAATTATGTTAATAAAGTTCCATATTTAGCTACAATGGTGGGTGTCTGCTAAAAAACATGGCAACACCATTTTGTTAGTCCGTATTTTTTGTTTTGGATAAATATTGCCTTTCTTGACATTTTAAGAAAATTCGATCGGCAATGAACTATTGTGCGTCCTTACACTTCATTGAAATCAAATTTTTAAAATAGTCATTACCCAGGAAAATCTTTTTGAGACAAAGAATTCCATTTTAAAATTGCATGTAGGAAAGCATAAGCTTCATGCATAACCTCATCTTTGTTTTGGTTGCCACAAAATAAACCGTGAAACCAATAGGCGCAAAATATTAGTAGTTGGTCGAAAAAAAGAACAACTTCCAACTAGATTAAATTATAACGGAAAATGTGAAAGTGGCCTTCAAACAATTTATTCATTCTATGACAATACAGTTCAACTACCAATTTTTTATTAATATTACATGACCGGTTAATGTCACACTGTGCGAAACAAAGGATTTCTTGCATTCGATTGGTTTTTTCGTATCCACTTTCTCCGACAGCCTTCGGATTTGTGTGCGGGTTTAGCCGCTGTTGAGTATTTTTATCCTTTTTCACGGAAGTCGTTGAATCCTGGTCGAGTCGGTTCTCCCTGCAACTCTGGAAATGCCGAGCTAGGTACTTCCATGTTAATTAGAGAGTTAGCTTGTCGCAGACAAGACCGGCACCAAATTCGTGACACGCAAGATTAAGAGGCTTGGTGGGTCCGGTATCTCGGAGAATTTATTTTTGACAATAACGTGGTTATTATTTGAAGAATAGACAGATGAGATCGGCAACATCCGTGATACTAATGGCACTTATTGTTCTATGCGAGAATCATTTTTTGTCTATCGATTTATGTAGAATGAAAAAATCAAAAGTCCACGCAAGTTTGGCATCACCCCGATCCAATTTGAAGTGGATCACCAAGAATACTGAAGCTTTGAAAAGCTGAAAACGAGGTTTAAACTTTCAAGATTTTCGAAGCAATAGTGGTAGCTGTTAGCGCAAACGGTAAATTGGGAAACATTATGTTGCCTTACTGTACTATACCCCTTGCGTTTTTTTCCAATTGCATTCGTTATCAAAATGACGGCGTTTGAGAAAATAAAGAAGCTGGAAAGATTTTTTAGGGTCTTTGGAAACTCAGAATTTCATTTTCGCATGATAAGACAACTTGTACCGCGTATGCAAAAATCAGTAGATGTCAATAGTTTCGTTTACCACTAGTAAAATTTACCATGAGCTAAGATACGTTGATCCAAAGTTGAAAGCGGACCTTTTTTTGGAATCGTATGACTGCTACAGAGCTGCGTTCTCCTAGGATTCTTGCAGTTGGGCATATCCTATCCGGTAAAGGTTTCAATTATGAAATATATCCGCGAGCGATGCCAAATCTTGCATAGTTACTAAAATCTCAAGCAGTCTCATAGTACTGTATACTTTGCTGTATTTCGTGATGATATGTAGAAATTCTACGATCGACTTTCTGTCAACCTCAGCAATGATCAAATAATTCTTCGTATTCTTGTTGAGCAAACACGAGGTCTTTTCGGCGGATTTCGCCTTCCTGGAAGCCTGGAAAGGTCAAGCTGACAGCAATCTATTCGGGCAAACACCTCCGTAACCAAACAGATAAAACGCTAAACCAAGATTTCAATCACATTGAATACAGCTTTGCACACTCAATGCTTTCTATGAGGCTTCCACTGAGTATGTCGCGTGAAGACCAACTGCACAGAATTCACGTTGAAGCGTAATGTGCCTCCCCCATTAGAATAACAGGCTTATATACTGCCCAATATCACGCGTGATAATGAGGCATTCTTCCCTGCCGTTCATTTTCGGATTTCTGGAATTAATCCAGAGTGCCTCGAGAGTTTTACGCGCTTGTGTTCTTGATTCCTGTGCGAGGATCGTGATACGCACTTCAAAGTCCTCCCCGTTATGTCACTGGGTTCTATGCGTGACTAGGGGGGTATTTGGCTTACGTTTTTTTTTTTTTTTTTTTGCCGACTAGGTGTTCTTTCATGCGGACACAGAGGGGTCTACCCGTTTCACCAATGTATTCGTCACCGCACGTCTTACAGGAGATCAGATAAACTATATCCGAGGTCATGCAATTACCGTCTCTACCACTGAGGCAAATTATGCAATTTTGAGTTGCACACAGACGGTCATATAGGCGGTTACGAACTAGCTGACGCCTAAGATTGCTCCGTGGCATTTCAACTACGTTTACTGAATTCTCTAAACCCGCCCTTCTTAAGCAGCGTTTTATGGCTGCACTTACTTCATTTAAAATGAAGGGTAGGATAAACGGAATCTTTTTATCGCTAGAGTTGTCGTTTGGGGGCATAAGATTTTCCCTACACCTATTCCGAGCTACGGTTTCGTAGCCATTAGAAAGTACTCGGATGGTCCGGAAATTACTACGCTCAGATAAGAGTGTGGCAATGGGGCAACGACTTACGCCTAGTCTTGCCATTGCGTTTATATCTAAGGTGGAAGCACCAGTGACCGACCTTGGGTTGTTATTCTGCTGTAGACATATAGATGACTATTTTATCCTTTGCTCAACACAAAAGGAAATAAACAAATGTTTCGAGTTGTTGAACCAACAGTCAGAGTATATCAAGTTCACCCAAGAGAAACCGAAAGAAAACTGGCTTCTATTCCTGAACGTCTAAATTAACCTGTCAGTAAGCGGCTACATTATGAGGTGGTACCGAAAGCCA